CTTCTTCGCCTTTTGGCGACACACGCCTTATTTTTCTCGGCTTAGATCATTATCAGTTCCGTTTGATAATTTTTGATAATGGATCAACATTTGCAACCACTGACAGTCACTACTAAAAATTTGACAGATTTAAAACCCTTCGCGAGGTTTTTAGGTTGAAGTTATGTTGCGGTGATAGGATGCATTCAACTATGTCTTTTAGCAGGGAAGACTATTTAATTCAAATGGAGTAGAATCACTTGGGATACCATCTCTAACTTTTGTGACATATTTCAAACTGTGAGTCTTCTATAAAATAAAATAGACCAACAGTCTCATTCATGGGCAGTTGTTACTCAATTACCTGTTAGCAAAACGTGTTAATGGTAGGGGCCTGCATTGAGTCAAAAGCTATGTAACCGACAGAACTCGTGCGCTCATCATAGGTGATTATAAATCTTCTCTATGAGTAGTCATTTCCGAAGTTCCTCAGGGCAGCGTTTTTGAAGTTATTGGGTCGTCACTATATATTATCCGCATATTTGAATCACCATTGCTTGTTAAACATAATAAACTATTTTTTTTTAGATAAGCACAAACTGTATTTTTCCTTTTTAAAAGGTGACGTAAATGTTTACAGGGTAATGCTGACCTATTAAAGGTTTATAATTGGTCTAAACAGACGCAATTCCCATCGCATTTTCCAAAGTTTCAGGTACTTTAATTGGATCAGGGATCTAATAATTCAAATTATTATATCAATGGATACTGTCTCAACAGAGAACAGGTTGTTTGAGTCTTTGCGATTCTGACTGTCGGTAATTTCTCTTTAGTTCAGCATCGTGCAGTTGTAATTCGATAATTATCGCGTATTGTAAACTATATTTTCAGCAGTTTGTGTCTTAAGAAGTAAAGTCTTTTTATCTTTCTCTAAAAAATCTATATTTGTCTATTATTAAATATAGATCTGTTGTGTACTACAGCTTCTTTCCAAAAAAGAACTTCAGGGGGCTAGGCCATGTTTACAGACGCTTTATCAGAGGTACTGCTGAGTTTCAGAAAACTTGCGTTCTTTGCGAGAGAAGATTCCGAAGACTACCCTTTGATATCATCAAATTTTGTTTATCAGAAGTTACGCTCTGTTTTACGGACCAAATGGTGTGCTGTTTCGTTAACTGCTAGTTTAATTTTTTTACCTTTTCTATCTAGACTTATAATTTTGGAAAAAAAACTCTTGCAGTTGAAACCAGGAACCTAAAAAACTAACATTTGGCAGAGTTTTTTACGAGTCATGGTGGCAAAATCTGGAATAACTTTTCAAGTGATGTAACTACGGCTCCAAATCTGAAGCATTTTAAAAGGACATTGGATGGAAAAAAGGTTGAAAATATTCCAATCAAGTTTCTGCTGATAAGTGGTCAGTCACTTAAATAAATCAGTTGCTTTACTTCTTTCGCCTAACTTCTGTCTGCTTTGGAGATGAGTAACCCAAATCACTTTTAAGTTTGGCTAATCTGAGTAAAATCAATGAAAAATTTCGCGTTTTACAGAGAAGGTAAGGATTGAACAAACTAAATGTCATAATGCCCATTATTTTCCTATCAATCCTTTTCTGTTGTCTTAGTCTTCAAGAATAATCATATCAAATATCACATGTTTTGAATACATTCTACCATATGATAGCTTTAAGTATGTTTCATGTACCAATGCGTAAAAAAAGGCTCTGACTTCAACGCAGTGGCAAATAATTTAAAAAAATGTGGAGACAAACATTTTTCACTGATGAACAGTTGCTACCAGGAAGTTAAGACTTTTTTAGTAGAAGTTTTGAAATGAATAAAGCACGCAGACAGTTTTGCATTTTTTATGAATTATGAACGTTGACTGGAAAAAAAAGGCAATGTCTGGACAATTTTATTGCTACCGGTAACCGCTCTGACCAACTAAGTCAATCCGATTCTGTTTAGCTGTGCGATAGCAAACCATAATTCTCTTGCCTATGTATACTTTTTTGTTCTCTATTTCCAAATTCTCTTCCCAAATCGATATCTTGATTTTTGAGGCATTTTTCTTTGTTCAAAAACTCAATTTCTCCTTCAATAAATGTTTCCTTTCCTATATAAATCGTATTATTTCTTCGTTCACGTCTGGATTAGGCATGTTAGACACTCTTCTGCATGGACCTGGTCATGGACCGAAAGACTTTTAAAGAAATTCGTCTGACCTTACAAATGAAGAATGCGGTTTTTGTAAGTAATTCGTATCTCATGGAATGTTTCGTCATATGTTTTATATGACTATTTTTTCATCCTTCCATACTTATGTTCGTTCTCAGGCATATGCACAACAACCATACACTTCGCATTTCACAATGAAGTTAGAGGGCCCTTAAAGTTTGTTGAAAAAACTTTCGTTAAATTTACCCAATTCCATAGCCATGTTTTACAATAAGTTAAGGAATTTCTTGTTTCCCGTCTAGTTACAGCATTGATCCACTTTACCAAGATATCTTCTGGCTTCCTCTAATCCGTAATTCACAGAGTTCTACGATGATGGTTCTTTTCCTCTAATAAGCTCCTATGACGAGTATTAAACCTGATCCCCCCCGATAACATCCAGTTATCTATCCTTTATTCTGCATTTGAATGGAAAAGAAACTTTGGAGTTCTTTTAGTTTGGTAGCCCCACCTTCATTTCAACCGATGAAGCCTATGAACAGTAACTGTAATAAGTGTGCTTTTATCTTATTACAACCAATAGGAGTGATGGAGCCAACAAATTAAAACAGAGCCAAAGCTTCTTTGTCTATTATGTCTTTCTGAGTGAAAATTTACCATTCCGAAAGGTCGTTGTTAACACTTGCCTTGTAACATCTAGAGCAGCATAGAGAAAGTCCGTGTACAACACACGACTCCTTATTTATAATCATTTCTGATTATTCTCCTGAATACCTCTTTGCTTATTATTGTTCCTTACTGACTGTGCATATACTAATTTGTTAAAGATTCCACTTTTTGAAAATGTTTCTCTTCTCAAATTTTGAGTCTCAAGTTTTGAGCCTCATACAGCAATATTTCTTACATTTCAATGGATTTCAGAATATTTTAGTGAAGCATGGAGGATCTATAGTTCTTATACACAAACTTCACTTCATCTCAGTTTTTATGCAAAATTGCTTGACGATTTTTCAGCCAAAAATCGATAGGAAAGTATGGAGAATAAACAGTGCCTGAAAAATCTTATTTCAGGTTTCCACGGCACTGTTTAACGGTATTCAATTAAAGCTGTTTACAGGTGATAAAAACGAAGAAAATTTATTGCAATGCCCATATCGTGAATGGCTACAGTTTGTGATGTTTGAAGTGAAGGAAGTAATCCCAAAGTACTAATTTAAAAAAAAAAAATTTATCTTTAAAATTCTGCAGCTGACAACCCTTTTTAGATTTGAAATGCCAAAATGTTTACGCTCAAAATGTTAACAAGCTGTTTTTCGCACAAACACCGGTGTCATTTTTGCTCTCCATTACATAAAAATTTATCAGAGTTGAGTGGGAAAAATTCTCATAACAATAAGCCTTTGTCCTCTTTTAAACAATGCTTAAAAACAATTTTTACCGCTCTCCCCAAAAACAACAGTCTTGGCCGATGACTGTCGCGCTGTATAAGCAACAGATTGAATCTGAACTGTACCCACAAATCACCAAGTAATTCTCCCATCAAAATCAATCAGTGATTTCACATAAATTTTTCAATTCCATAGCACACGATTGATTGCATTAATATTTCAGTAGAACCCATTTTTCTTTTCATAAATCTTTACACCTGTTAACAGCACATCTTCTACTCGCTCTATCTTCTCCTTTTTTCCATCTCATAGGATTAAAAAGATTTTGACAACAGAGATTACGTACGACAATACGGAACAAAAACATAAGAGATAAACAATTTTTAGCGAACAGTAACATCTGCGAATCTTCTGTGCAGATTACAATGATATAAGATGGCAAAAAAGTAATGAAAAATTTTTCTAAAAACGATTTACCAGCAATGACATAGCAGCAAAAAAAAAACTTTTGCATAGTATTTTTTTTCTACTGCTTTCTTGCCGAAATTCGACTTGCAGATCAAAAAATCTGATTGTTACGCAACAGATTATGCTGTCATTTATTTTTTGCAGCAATACAACATAACCCTTCTTTACCCTTTTTTTTTTTTTTTTTTGGTAAATGAAAAAAACCAGGTGAACACATAAATGATAATTATAGGGACGAGAAGGAGACTGTTTAGTACAACAGGAAAGCCACCGAATATTACTTAGATACTTCAAAATAAATGAAGAAATATTATCGTATATTTAAAAAAGATTGTTCAAAAAGCCGAAGCATATGAAACCTTGTTTCAGAAAAACATGAAAATGAAAATGGTTTTAAAATAACATCTTGAAAAAAAAGTTCTTATGGCAAAAAACAAAAAAGTAGAGGAAAAGAGAAAATACGACAATAAACGAAGACAAAAAGATTACAGTCAAACACGGTAACACTAATTGAGCTCATACGGTTGCATCATAGCTCTGATAAAACAGTTCGCATTAGGTTTTTTTCTTCAAAAAATGGTTTAATAGAACAATTATATAAATACCCATACTTTGCACCAACGATTTATTCCGACCCTAAGACTCAAAATGCATAGAAACAAAATCACTAAACAATTCTTAATATTCACAACAAACTTGATCGACCCTTTCTTTTTTTGCTTTTTGACAATAGCAACAAAACAAAATAATTCACTTCCTACTCTTGCCTCTGTAACTTAGTAAGTTCTAAAAGAACTGATTGGCTTTTTGCTATGATGGAGTATCTTATGAGACTCCTGCAACCGTCAGCAAATCAAATAAGGTCCAGCGGACAAAGATTCCGCTTTAGCTAAAGATAACACAGAACGTCCTAAAAACCTGAATTTTAGATGATTTCAACAAATAAAAACTCTCACCCAAGGCACAAATAAAAGGTTTGTTCATCTATCTAAATATGACATTCTACAAAGAATTCAACTGTAATTGCTGTGCCAAACCATAGATGGATTTGACCAATCACTGCAGCGTTGATTGAACCTAAAATCTCACCAAAAATTCTATATGTATTAAACTCCTGATGAAAACTATTGATGATTTAGAATGTCGGTCTGTTATTCAAGAAACATTTCAAACATGACTGGAAATAGTCTATGGTTCAATAGAAATAAACACATTAATAAATGGAAAAAACCGAAAGTCGCTAACGTTGCCTGATTCCCAGGTGTAAAATCTGAAGACTGAAAAAAGTTGGAATTTTGATAGTTCATGAAACTGTAGCCACCATTATCACATGTAACAGCAGTTGGGTACCACTGCTGACTGCTTACACAAGGGTATTGGGCCGAAGATGCAAAATTCGCTGACGAATAAGTTCCACTATTGTTGCCATAATACTAAAATTCAACAGTTAAGAAATAAACCTTTTCAAAAGTGTGATTATGCAATCTTTTTTTTTACTTCTGTGTCGGTTCACAGTATTAGGATTTAGATAATAAAAAAAAAAAGTGAGACAAGAAACCTTATCAATTTGCCTACCACTAAATCTAGATCGCCAAACTAAATCTTAAAAATACCTGTCCTTGTGTACTACCGTAATGAGTGTCTAGTAAGCCACCAAAGTTCGTGTATTGATTACTGCCAATCCTTCTCCACCTAAACCCTTCCTGGTCATATGCTAATTCAGAAATATTCAGAATATTCAAGTAAAAACTAAGAATTTTTGTACCAAATATCAATAAATTTCAAAGAACTGTTGTTATAAATATATCCGGCTGAGTGAACACTTACGATGCTGAACCATTAAAATCGTAGGAGGGGCAGTTATAACAGGTGTCGAATGTATTAATGTTCCCCGAATTATGTGCAATATTCTGGATATGGTGCGATTCTAAACTGGGTTCGCATTGCGAAACCGAGGCTGTGGAAGCAAAACTCTGGTGCGACTCATTATTTGCCTGAATGAGAAAAATATCAAAGTCAAACGGTAAGTTGTATACATTACTGAAAATATTATAAAGAAGAAATGTTTAGAAAATAGGTGTAAAAGGCTAGAAAGACGTCAACTATCATAAATCTACGAACAGCGTAAATCCAGGTTAGTTTAGCCGCTTACGGAAAGTTGCTGGAGCTGATTCATGTACTACTTTATGCATACAGTGTAAAAAAAGCCAAATTAAGCTTTAAATAACCGGCTTAAAACGACTACACGAGCTTAATGTCCCGAGGAAAACTTTTTCAGACAAAAAATATTAAAACCAATAGTCATCAACCATGGACAACGATCTCTGTTCGCTGGGGTATAGAGAACGATGAAACAAAAGTGTAAATAAAAATTTCAGGAGAACGAGTTAAAGCAGAAGAAGTAACTTAAGACAGAAGTAAGTCCATAATTTTACTTATTCGCTACGTACCCTACCTACACTTCTGCTTATTTGATTTATAGAAGAAATCAACAAACGAAAGTAAATCCAGCGTTTCCTAAATTCAGTTGTGAACTTCCATTCCAGTAGTATGTGCTGGTTGCATCAGCAGTGTAAAAACAGTTCTGTTGATAAGGAATCCCGGACTGATACGGTATTTGTGAGCAATTATAACTAGTATTCACACAGGCATTAGGAATAATGACATAAGGTTCAGATCTCGAGCACTCGTAGTGCTGTAGAAATTGACCTACGCTGCACTGATTTGATATTGAGAAGTCCGTAGAACCAGGATACCCCTAAATTAGCATTGTTGAAATAAATACATTTTACTTCATCTCTTCAGTCAAAAAAGTACTAAGAAAGAAACAAATAAAGTCCACACCAGTTCTTTTCATTAAAGATTAATATATACCGAAAATTTTTCAAATTTGCCCACCCTTGAAGAACACTTAAAGAAAAGCACTCTAATCAAATTAAGTTAGAATCCAGCATAATATTAATTTTTTTAAACGTAACAGACTTGGAAAGTATCTAACATCCCGTACGGTACAGAAGATTTTAGCCGCGATCCGTCTTCAGGGGCTCCACAGAACTTTGTTGCTTGAAAATCATTCTGAAAAATCCTTTTTTGGTAAAAAATCACAGCGAACAAAAACATTCAACATTTATATGATTATAAAAATACCTCAGTCCGAAAGGTACTTTACCTGTTATAAAGAACACGTCCTGCAATGAAAAAAGTACGAGGTAACCAGAAAACAAACGTAAATAAACATTAACATATATGTATACTTACTTATTTATGGTAATGCTTATTTACGCTTGTTTTCTGGTTACCTCGTCCTTTTTCCATTGCAAGACGTGTTCTTTATAACAGGTAAAGTACCTTTCGGAATGT